ATGCAGAAATATGCCTTGTAGGCCTCACACATCTTAGCAGATGCTTCCACAGAGTACTTTTTCGCTCTTGTCTTGATTAATTGGCCGCAGACATAGCAAAATGCGTCTGCCGGATACTTGCAGCCTCTTGATGCTATCTCAGAATAATGCAGAGATGTAGCCACTTAGGCAGCTGGAACTAAACTGAACTGGTGAGCTTAAAGCCATTGTATTTATTTATTGCTCGCAGGTGAAATGAGTTGCCCATTACTTTTTATATTACTGGAAAGTTCAAAAATGTTCTAGAAGTTACTCCAAGTTTACTCAGCACCGAATCTATCTGGAATATTCTGGAAAATAGGTAAATTTGAAAATATCACTGTCCTGGTCACAAAAGCAAAGTTTGTGGGGAATAATAGCCATTTTATGTACTTTTGAGGTATAAGCAATTAGGAAATAACACTACCCAGGAACAAAACATAATAAAAAATGTGTTACACAGTGTTATCAGTGGCGTAGTAACCACATTATCAGTGGCGTAGTGACTACATTATGAGTGGCGAAGTAACTACATTTTCAGTGGCGGAGTAACTAAATTTGCAGTGGCGTAGTAACTACATTATCAGTGGTGTAACAGCATCATCAGTGGTGTAATAACTACATTATCAGTGGCGGTGTAACTACATTATCAGTGGAGTAGTGACTACATTATCAGTGGTGTAGTAACTACATTATTAGTGTAGTGACTACATTATCAGTGGTGTAGTGACTACATTATCAGTGGTGTAGTGACTACATTATCAGTGACGTAGTAACTACATTATCAGTGGTATAGTGACTACATTATCAGTGGTGTAGTGACTAGATTATCAGTGACGTATTGACTACATTATCAGTGGCGAAGTAACTACATTATCAGTGGTGTAGTGACTACATTATCAGTGGTGTAGTAACTACATTATCAGTTACGTAGTGACTACATTATCAGTGGTGTAGTGACTAGATTATCAGTGACGTACTGACTACATTATCAGTGGTGTAGTAACTACATTATCAGTGACGTAGTAACTACATTATCAGTGGCGTAGTAACCTCATTATCAATGACGTAGTGACTACATTATCAGTGACGTAGTAACTACATTATCAGTGGCGTAGTAACTACATTATCAGTGGCGTAGTAACTACATTATCAGTGACGTAGTGACTACATTATCAGTGGTGTAGTGACTACATTATCAGTGGTGTAGTGACTACATTATCAGTGACGTAGTAACTACATTATCAGTGGTGTAGTGACTACATTATCAGTGACGTAGTAACTACATTATCAGTGGTGTAGTAACTACATTATCAGTGACGTAGTGACTACATTATCAGTGGTGTAGTGACTACATTATCAGTGACGTAGTAACTACATTATCAGTGACGTAGTAACTACATTATCAGTGGTGTAGTGACTACATTATCAGTGACGTAGTAACTACATTATCAGTGGTGTAGTAACTACATTATCAGTGGCGTAGTAACTACATTATCAGTGACGTAGTGACTACATTATCAGTGGCGTAGTAACTACATTATCAGTGGTGTAGTGACTACATTATCAGTGACGTAGTGACTACATTATCAGTGACGTAGTGACTACATTATATCAGTTCAGGGGGTGCATCGATCGGTCAGGTGGGGCCCCCCAACATTGTATTTGTCTGCGCGTGCTCGCACCCACAGGCTATTATATATCGCGGCTCCTCTTGCCTAATCACATCATTAAGCACTTTTATTGAAAACCTAAACTTGAACCGCAGTTTTAAATACGCGTTGTTGCTCTTGTTCGTTTACTACTGTTGTTGAAAACATCTCTCACGGTGCTTGTCAAGGGGGCCCCAACTTGTAGCTTCGGCCACGGGGGGCGGGGTGGAGGGGGGGGGGATCAAGGCACCCCCACTGCTCCCACGATCGTTACTCTTCTGGTGATGGATGATCTGTCGCTAACTATCCATCTACTTTCCGACCCCAAAGGGAGCAGTCGTCTCCCGCGTGATGGAATGGACTCTATCGCCCGGAGGTTCTTTTCGCGAGTACTACGCGGAGCAGAGTTTCCAGACTCTCAACTTCAAGCCACTTAATTGAGTCGAGGCACTGTCTGTCCCCTTATGTATTAAAAAAATCAACGCTGGGTGTGCATCGTGTAATCAATCCAGAGAATGCATTGTGGTCTTCCGGAAGACGCGTTTTAATCAGATGCTTCGCATCAAGACGGTTCGTCCATCGGATTTCATGGCCACCCAGAGGGCAGAGTTCGACCGCCGGCCGTTCACTATCAACTCCCGGACGTCATCTCTCGCGATATAAAGGTAGCGCATTCATAATCATCTTCTGGGAGGCGGCTCTCCATGGTACCATATTCTCCCAATTCGAAGAAAAAAAAGAGTCTTAATTTAATGTCAAGAATGGCGCATTATAAAGTTTGGAACGCGTACAACTCACGGATGGGGAGATTTTGGGAAGGACGAATGAATGTGTCGTGCGATGAAGTGGCGCGGGGTTTGGCGGGTTCAACGGACTCAAGAGTTGAGCAATCAGCGGCGATGTGCGTGCCGAGGTGGGTTGGGGGCTGCGCGCTGTGGATCCTCTCTGACCTCCGAGGGGGCGCCACTGCGCACACACAGACACACACACAGACACACACGCAGACACACACGCACACACGCAGACACACACAGACACACAGACACACACACAGACACACACACGCACACACGCAGACACACACACAGACACACACACACACAGGCACACACACATGCACACACACAGACACACACACAGACACACACCCAGACACACACACACAGACACACACACACAGGCACACACACACAGACACACACGCACACACGCAGACACACACACAGACACACACACAGGCACACACACACACACACATAAAGACACACACGCACACACGCACAGACACACGAACACACACACACGCGCACACACGCACACACGCACAGGCACACACACACTCACCACATACACAATCACCACATACCTACATACCACATACATACACAGCACTTACCTACTCACCACATGCACACATACTACCTACCTATATTACACCTACCCACCTACCACCTACCGACATGCCACAGACATGCAACTCACAGAGCGCGCGCAAACGCGTTCACACGCGCACAAGACAAAGCTCCCCCGTGTAGCCCTACACAGGCTGTCGGGGCAAGTGCTGTTGGCTAGCAGCAGAACCTGTGAAGGCCGGCACGGCGCACGAGGAGGGGATGTGGTGGCCGGAACCACGAGTCTTTATTGTACCGTGCCGTGCACACCTCTCGCTCTAAGTTGGCACCCCAGAGTTGAGTCCATGGCCCGTCGGGCAAGGGCTGCGAACGAGCGCCAATCCATCCGCTCGACGAGGTAGCGCACAAGGCCACGTGCAGGAAATAAACAAACATCAACCAGAATGAGCGTGCTCACCCCTATGCAGTATGAACGCCCATCTATTAATTGGGCTTTAAACGCCCTGTGTCCCCCGTACCTGTGCGCGTACACGTGCAGTGTCGTCGACGCAGATCAATACGCCCCGTTGAAGGCGACCAGGACCGAAAGAGCAAGTGTTGCTCGCGAGAAACTATGACGGCATCAGCCATGATCTATGCACTGCTGGTTGAAGACATCCCCAAATAACGTCTCCCCAATGGTACGAGCTATACGTTGCACACACATATAGATATGTGTAAATACATTAAAGTGTATATATGCACGTGCATAGTGTGTGTATGCAGCGGCGCATGTATGATGACAAAGGAATATGCCGTAGCAGCCTCCAGTCTACCCACACACACACGCGCGTGCGTGTCCGTCGCGCGGGCGTGCGCACGGCACATTAACATCGCTCGATCCTCTGATGGATGAAGGGCCCTCCCGAGCTGCAGTGAGGGTTATCCGACCATACTTCACCGGCCCGGTCAATGGGGCGGTTGGCGAGCGTCACACAGTCAACGCGCGCACCAGGAATTCATAGCGACTGGCGAATCGCGTGGAGCCAGCGACGTTGGGCGAGAGCGCGCGCGCGCGCGTGTGGCAGGCGGAGAGGGAGCGGTGGCGGCAGGGGAGGGGTGTGTGGAGGAGGGTTCGTGGTGGGGGTGGGGGGGGGAGCGCTCGCATCACGCGCCGGGAGCGCGCATCCCAGCACCGCCGCCATCGTCATCTTCCGAGCACCAACTTCTCCGCGCAGACTATAACCACCCCCCATATCCCTAACCCCATATGACCCCCGCCCCCCACCTCTCCCCCACCCCCGCCCCCCCGCTCACGGGAGAGACATCAGCACCGGTCCGAGCTCGCTGCTCCCCATCGCCGCCCACCTCCCCCTACTCACCATCCGTGCCCTTCGACTCCTCGCGGCACCGCTCTCCGCGGTGGCGAGGAGTTTCCCTCCTCCTACTCCTCCTCCTCCTTCTTCTTCAGCGCTCCGCGCCTCCCCCGCCATCCTCCCCGATCGGCGTTGCGCGCGCTCCGGCGACCGTGGCGTGGAGGGGTCGTGGTGGTCGTGGTGGTGGTGGCGTCCATCCAGGACGAGGCTTTGCCCCCGCCGCTCAACTCGAGCGCATCGCTCGCCCCCCCCGTCTCCCCACCGCTCCGTACCACGGCCGCTTCGTTCGGGGGAGCCGCCGGGGCTACGCGTCGCCGCCTGCTCTCGTCTCGCAATTAAACAGCCTTTGTGGGGGGGAGGGGGGTGTAATTCGTAAATTTCGCGGCGTCAGCAGCAGTAGCAGCAGCGTCGTCGACGTCGCAAGCCGCCGCCTTCAGCGCCGCTCGGTTCGGCTGCGCTGACTCGCGACGCCGGGCAGGAGGGGGGTGCCTCCTGCTGCTGCTGCTGGCGGAGCAGCGACTCCCCCACCACAGCACCCCCACCACCCCCACTCGTCTCTGTGAAGTTTTCTCCAACGGCGGCGACTGAGGCGGCGTTTCGTCTCTGCTCCGAAGCGGCTGGCGCTCAGAAGGCAGCAACAGCAGAAGCAGCAGCAGCAGAAGCAGTAGCAGAAGCAGCGGCAGCAGCAACAGCAGCAACAGCAGCAGCAGAAGCAGCAACAGAAGCAGCAGCAGCAGAAGCAACAGCAGCAGAAGCAGCAGCAGCAGCGCGTCACGTTGAGTTGGATACCGACAGAGCCAGCGGCGAGGACGACTGCGCGCGGATTGGATATACCACGGAGTACTTTGCCGTGAAGACAGCCGCCGTGTGTGTGTGCACGCACGCGCGCGCGTGTGCGTGACGCCTCAAGTTTGTGGCTGCTGCTGTTGTAAAGCCGGCTCATCTATATCAGCAGGAGCAGCAGTATCGGCAGCCCTCTAACGCATCCACATCATCGGCCGGGGTTGCCAGGAGGCCCGCGCTGGTGTCTGCAGGGAGGGAGTGGTGGTGGGGTGGGGGAGAGAGGCACGGAGGGCGCTAGAATGGCACAGCGCGTGAGTGTTGTTCGCACTTCGCGCGCGTCCACGCCACACACCCCACACACACCACACACCCTACACCCCACTCCACACACACCCCACACCCTACACCCCACTCCACACACACCCTACACCCCACACACACCCCACACACCCTACACACACCCCACTCCACACACACCCCACACCACACACCCCACACCCCACACACACCCCACACCCTACACCCCACTCCACACACACCCTACACCCCACTCCACACACACCCCACACACACCCCACTCCACACACACCCCACACACCACACACACCCCCCCACACACACACACACCCTACACCACACACACCCCACACACCACACACCACACACACACACTACCCACCACACACACCCCACACACCACACACACACCACACACACACCCCACACCACACACACCCTACACACCACACACACACCCCACACACCACACACACCACACACACCCCACACATACACCACACACACCCCACACACCCCACACACCACACACACCACACACACAACCTACAAGCCCCACACCCCACACCACACACACTCAACACACCACACACCATACACACACCAGACCCCACACACCCCACACATACCACACACCCCCACACCCCACACACCACACACTCCACACACACCCCACACACCACACACACTCCACAAACACCACACCTCACACACACCACACATACCACACACACCATACACCCCACACACCCCGCACACACCCCACACACCCCACACCCCACACACCACACACCACACACCCCACACCCCACACACCCAACACCACACACACCCAACACCCCACACACACCCCACACACCCAACACACCACATACACCCCACACACCACACACACCCCACACCCCACACACCCCACACACGCCACACACCCTACACACCCCACACCCCACACACCCCATACCACACAAACCCAACACTCCACACACATCCCACACACTCCACTCCCCACACACCCCACACTACACACACCCAACACACCACACACACCCCACACACTCCCCACACACCCCACACTCCACACACCCCACACATACCACACACACCACACACCCCACACACAACACACTCCACACACACCCCACACACCACACACACTTCACAAACACCACACCTCACACACACCACACATACCACACGCACCACACACACCCCACACACCCTGCACACACCCCACACCCCACAAACCACACACCCCACACCCCACACACCCCACACCACACAACCCAACACCCCACACACACCCCACACACCCCACACACCCAACACACCACATACACCCCACACACCACACACACCCCACACCCCACACCCCACACACCCCACACACGCCACACACCCCACACACCCCACACCCCACACACCCCATACCACACAAACCCAACACTCCACACACACCCCACACACCCCACTCCCCACACACCCCACACCACACACACCCAACACACCACACACACCCCACACACCCCACACACTCCCCACACACCCCACACTCCACACACCCCACACCCCCCACATACACCCAACACACCACAGACACCCCACACATCCCACACACCACACACCCCACACACCCCACACACCCCACACACACCACACACACCACACCCCACACACCCCACATACACCACACACACCACACACACCACACACACCACACACACCCACTCCCCACACACCCCACACCCCACACACCCAACACACCACACACACCCCACACACCCCACACACTCCCCACACACCCCACACTCCACACACCCCACACCCCCCACACACACCCAACACACCACACACACCCCACACATCCCACACACCACACACCCCACACACCCCACACACACCACACACACCACACCCCACACACCCCACATACACCACACACCCAACACCCCACACACACCACACACCCAACACACCACACACACCCCACACACACCACGAACCCCACACCACACACCCCACACCCCACACACCACCCTCCCCACACCCCACACTCCCAACACACACCGCACACCACACATCCCACACACCCCACACCACATACACCCCACACACCCTACACCACACACCCCACACACCCCACACACCCCACACACAACACGCACCCCACACACCCAAGACCCTACACACACCACTCCCCCAACACACCACGAACCCCACACCACACACCACACACCCCACACACCCCACCCCACATACACCCCACACACCCCACACATCACGCACCCCATACCACACACCACACACACCCCACACCACACACCCCACACCCCACACACCACCCTCCCCACACCCCACACTCCCCACACACACTGCACACCACACATCCCACACACCCCACACCACAGACACCCCACACACCCCACACCACACACACACCGCACACACACCACACACCCCACGCACACACCACACAACACACACCCCACACACCCACACCCAACACTCCCCACACCCCACACTCCCCACACACCGCACACACACCACACACACCGCACACCACACACCCCCGCACACCACAAACACCCCACACACCGCACACGGACCACACACACACGCAATCTACACACCACACACCCCACACCCCCCACACCACACACACCACACACCACACACCCCACACACCCAACACTCCCCACACTCCCCACAAACCGCACACGCACCACACACCCCACCCCACACCCCACACACACCCCACACACGTCACACACACACCGCACACACCACACACCCCACCCCACACCCCACACACACCACACACACACCGCACACATCCCACACACCCGACCGCACACCCCCCACACACGCCCCACACACCGCACACCCCACACACGTACCACACACACCGCACACTCCCCACCACACACACCACACACCCCACACACCACACACACCCCACACACCACACACACCACACACACCACACACTACACACCCCACCACACACCACACACACACACCACACACACACACACCACACACACCACACACCACACACACCACACACACGCCACACACACCACACACCCCACACACCACACACCACACACCACACACACACCACACACCACACACACCACACACCACACACCACACCCCACACACCACACACCACACACCACACACACACCACACACCACACACACCACACACCACACACCACACACCACACATACACCACCGCACACCCCACACACCACACACACCACACACACCACACACACCACACACCACCGCACACCCCACACACCACACATCACACACACACACACCACACACACACGCACCACACATACACCACACACACCACACATACACCACACACACACACACACACCACACACACACACACCACACATACACCACACACACCACACATACACCACACACACCACACACACCACACACACACCACACACACACCACACACACACACCACACACACACCACACATACACCACACACACCACACACACCACACACACACCACACACACACACCACACACACACCACACACACCACACACACACCACACACACCACACACACCACACACACACGCAACACACACACACACACACACCACACACACCACACACACCACACACACACCACACACCACACACACACCACACACACCACACACACACCACACACACCACACACACCACACACACACCACACACACCACACACACCACACACACCACACACACACCACACACACCACACACACACACCACACACACCACACACCACACACACACACACCACACTACACCACACACACCACACACACACCACACACACACACACACACACACACACCACACACACCACACACACACCACACACACCACACACACCACACACACACCACACACACACCACACACACACCACACACACCACACACACACCACACACACCACACACACACCACACACACACACACACCACACACACACCACACACACACACACCACACACACCACACACCACCGCACACCCCACACACCACACACCACACACACCACACACACACACCACACACACACCACACACACACGCAACACACACACACCACACACACACACACCACACACACACACCACACACACACCACACACACACGCAACACACACACACCACACACACACACACCACACACACACACCGCACGCGCGAGACGCCCGCAGCTTCACGCGCGCGCCCTCGAGTCGGGAGCGCGCGTGCACGTGCGTTCTCACGAGCAACAGAAACAACCCCAACACTCTGTTAAGACTCTACGGGGGACCTTTGTCGGCGTGTCTGTTGCGTGTGTGTGTGTTGTGTGTGTTTGTTGTGTGTGTGTTGCGTGTGTTTGTTGTGTGTGTGTTGTGTGTGTTGCGTGTGTGTTGTGTGTGTGTGTTGCGTGTGTGTTGTGTGTGTGTGTTGTGTGTGTGTTGCGTGTGTGTGTGTTGCGTGTGTTTGTGTGTTGCGTGTGTGTGTGTGTTGCGTGCGTGTGTGTTGTGTGTGTGTTGCGTGTGTGTTGCGTGTGTGTTGCGTGTGTGTGTGTTGCGTGTGTGTGTGTGTTGCGTGTGTGTGTTGTGTGTGTGTTGTGTGTGTGTTGTGTGTGTTGCGTGTGTGTGTGTTGCGTGTGTTGCGTGTGTATTGTGTGTTTGTTGTGTGTTGCGTGTGTGTGTGTTGTGTGTGTGTTGCGTGTGTGTTGTGTGTGTGTGTTTCGTGTGTGTTGTGTGTGTTGCGTGTGTGTGTGAGTGTTGCGTGTGTGTGTGCGTGGTGCGTGTGTGTGTGTTGCGTGTGTGTTGCGTGTGTGTGTGCGTTGGGTGCGTGTGTGTGTTGCGTGTGTGTGTGTTGCGTGTGTGTGTGTTGCGTGTGTGTTGCGTGTGTGTGTTGCGTGTGCGTGTGTGTTGCGTGTGTGTGTGTTGCGTGTGTGTGGTGTGTGTGTTGCGTGTGTGT